TGGGCAAAATTGACCATAAATTTTGAGCATAGTCATAAATGTCAAGAAGAGGGTGGAAAATAGACAGACAAATTCCTCCAGCCTAATGAGACTGGAAATGATTGCTAAAGATGTGTTAAATTGAAAGTGAGAGTTGAACTAGAGGATGTAGCAGCACACAAAAAAATAAACGGAAGCATAAAATACGGAGGGGGTTGTTAAATGGTTGAAGAATGAAGGTAAAATCTCTTTAAGTTAATTAATGATTGAAGAATGGATGGAAATTAAAAGGAGGGAAGGAATACCAAAACAGAAGCGAGCAGAATTTGCTGATCTTAGCTCCAAAATGGATCACTCTACATAACTCTTTTTAGGAGAAAAAAAAGGACTTATGAACTCATGAAGCAACAATCAAAAACTGCCACTTTATTAAGAAATCTGGCTGGTAACTGACTGAAATAATTTATTCTTCAGATTGGACTTCTTTAGAAGTCCATATCACCTTACATATTAGTTGGAGATTTCTCAGCTTCGTATCCATGATGTAAAAAAGTCTCTACTGTTTGGAGAGCTGTTAAATGTTCACGAAAACAGTTTGAAATGATTTGAGCTACAGAGATATATTCATTAAGTATATGGGTACACTGTAGTCATGAATGGTCGGAGACCTTTATAAATCCTTTAAAAAATCAAACATTTTGTGATGATCATTAGAATTGTCAGGACTCACCTGAACCGAAAAGAGTTTCCATCGTTTACTAAACAATAATCTTCTGTATTAGTTAAATTTCAGGCATAGAGTGGCATAACAGAAGCCTTTTACACCAACCTATATCTACAAGACTTGCTAAAAATCTGCCAGAGCCTCTAGGGGGGATTTTCTTAACCAAACTGGAGCACAAGATCTTTTTTATGGCACAAAGCTAAAAATAATAATGGTAATGACAGTTATTTAAAGAATTGTGAAACAGGATGGTGTGACCATATTTCATGGTTTCTTGTTTTGTTTACCTTAATGATGAGTTTAAGCTTTCATCAAAGCATTTACTGCCCCCCAAAAAAAGATTAGGAAATCTTTGGAATCTCCTAAAAAGAGTTTCACTGATTGCACTGGTTTCCTCAGTCTGATATGTTCATTTGATTTCAAAATATTTATCCAGGTCTCAAATCACTTTAAGAAACAAACTTTGAATTACAACATATGCTGGTATACTTCTAAGATCCAATATATACCTTTGTCAAAAAAAGAGACATAACTAAGCAGCATATATTAAAAGTTTGCCCCAAAAAGCAGCACGCAACAGAAGCACTTGTTTACTGAGTAAATGAAAAAAGGAAAATCTGCACTTTTAACCTGAAAAATAGAGCTGACAAGACATGTAAGAAAGTTATCTGGAAGCCCAGGAAGCAAGACAAGAAGCTAAGGCACACAAACCCAAGCAAACTAAGGCATACGACTCAGGAGAGAAACAACCTCATCTTGTCTAGTAGAGAACAATCACAGAGGGAAAAAGGCAGACGAGCACAAAGAGAGGGATCGAAGGAACCTGACCATTGTGTCATCTGGGATCACTGAGCACTGTAATAGGCTTGAGTTTTGTCAGTTGGGCTCAGCTCGGGTCAGCTCAGCTGCAGATTTCTTCATGCCAAAAGGAGCACATGAGATTCTCCAGCAGACCCAGAACAAACCAAAAAGGTCTCACTAAGCTGGCCCTGGAAGAAAGAGAAATTGTTGCCTTCATAACTGGCATGTTATTCAGCCACTGTTTTGTAATGGAACATATAATTGCCCTAACAGTGTTGGCAGGATTAGAACAAGGTGTTAAACTGAGTTGCTGTTTGTGCCATTGATGGTCCCCATGTAATTTAGTCGACGTGTTGTTTTCCATCAAAAATCAATATTTGAGTTGAAATCCTATCCCTGGATTTTTAAGAAAGACTCTTCTTCTGCTTGCTGACCCTTCCTTGCATTGTTTTGCACATAACCAAAGATTCCACATTCTCCAGAAAAGGTCTATCCCTCAACCTTTATTCACTTTAATTATGTAGCCAAATTTGCAACTGATTTATTATTAATCAACAACATAATGTTCTGAAATGTCCTTGTGTGCATTTTAAAAAGATAATTTTATAGAATCTTCTTACTTGTCTCATTCTGAAAGGTTTTAAGGCAAAACAGCTTTTAGAATGTTTTGTCTCATGATTATCAAACTGTCTGATAATTCTAGCTGTTTTAGAATTTAAAATTAAAAAAATGATCAAATGAAATCTGAGCTTGGATAAAAAACACTGAAGTCCTTCAGTTGGGAAATAGGCAATAAGCAGTGAGACCTACCAGTTCAATAATATATAAAAGTTTCAAAAATATTTGTATGGTTTACTTTGGCTCTAAATTGAGCTGTCAACTATTATCAGCCATAAAAAGATATATGTTTTGTTAGACTTTCAATTGAAAACTATTTTTTTGGATAAAAAAATATGTTTCATGTGTTTAAAAGAAATGCATTAAGAAAAAAAGAAAATCTGGGGAAAAAAATCTAAAAATCTGTTTCAAATAGAAAAAAAAAAAGAAATTGCCCATCAATATTGTGTAATGGACAGGAGAAGTATTTTTAAGTGAAGCAGGCTTTTAGCTTCAGAGCTGTAACAACACAGGATTAGTTTAATCAAGCCAAAGGGTAAAACAGAGTTGTTATTCAGTTAAGCTGATTGACTTGCTGGTTTTAAGTTGATTGCACACTTTTTAAACTTTGCTTCCAATGTGTGCTCTTAATGGTACAAATTTAAATGGAATTTAAAAGTAAAATTCAATAAAAAAATACTGCATTGATTCCTAAGGGAATTTAAATGTAAAAGCATATACATACATACACATATCTATCCCTGCGATGGCAACCTGCCCAGGGTTGCCCCAGGGTTGCCCACCTCTCACCCATTGACAGCTGGATATATATATATATATATATATATATATATATATATATATATATATATATATATATAAAATGTAAAAATGTATGTATCAAAAAAACAATGAAAGGATGGGTCTCTGATCCTTCCTACTTTATTATCCTACTAAATTTTTTTATATACACTCTGTGACATTAAAGTTTAGAGTATGTCTAAGTCTACATCTTGCAATACAGCACTCAGCATCCAAAACACAAATTTCCAAGAGCACCCTGTCGATTTCAACCGCTGAAGAGTCCTTAGGGTATGCATTCAAAATGCACAATTAGGGATCCAAAGGGATAAAAAAAAAATAATTTCACTAAGTTAGTTCAATATTCTTTTCAGAAAATCTTTAACCTTTAAGTGTTCTCATATACAGTGAAGTAAAGAACCATTTTCAACACCACATGTAATGCAGGAGTGAGGGAGGTTTGAATTGAAATAATGCAGTTTTGCATTTGGAGATTAATATTCCTTGGATGCTTTCATTAACAATTGCCACTAATGCCAAATTGTTTTAGAACTTCAAAAAGATATCGCAATTCAAACCTGTCGAAGGCTTTTGAAATTAAAGCATTGTCTTTACTCCCCCTTTTCTCTTGAATAATATTCATCACTCTCCGTATATTGTGGAATCAATGTACAAATCCATTCTGCTGTGGATGTATCATCTCAGACAAATGTTTCTTCAGCCTCATACCTATACTGTGCATCATTTTTTAATCACGATTCAACAATGAGATTGGTCTATAAGTACAACATTGTGTTGCTGATTTGATAGATTTCAATAATATGTTTATTGTTGCAACATTAAAGGAAGGGGGAGAGATCCAGACCCAAATGATTCTTATCTAAAAGGGGACGGCCTACTTTATCTTGAAACATCCTAAAGATTTCAATTCCAGTTGCATCTGGTCCAGGTATCTTACCCTCTTTAATATTTACTATTGCATTAGTAATTTCTTTTACAGTGATTTTGAGATCGGTCATATCATTTTCTGGTAGTTTGGGAAACACTAAGTGAACAGACAAGACTGCTTGCTTTGATGATATGATTGGTTACATTTTTGAGAAAATCTACAAAATGTCTCACTAATCTGTTTGTGGTCCATGGAAACTCTGGAAAAATGAATCATACGTTCCAGCTGGTGGTGTCAGAGTTGAATGGGAATGTTATATAAATGCAAATAATACTGTCTTAATACTAGAGTGGTGTGCATCGGTTTCAACGATGAACTGTATGTTTTTGAAGCTTGTTTTTTTAACTCTGATTTCTCTAGATTGTTTTATATTTATATTATACATTCCCCTCTTTTATCTCTGATGTCAAACAATAATTCAGCCAATATGTTTAATATCATTTTTAGTGCCACTTTTAACCATCTGCAGCAGGAAAGTGTTAAAATTACTGCTGCTAGCTTTGTTTAAACCTAACAACTTTGTTAAAACGCATCAATGCAAGTGATGTTTGTCCTAGAATAGCCAAAGTTATGAGTATTTGCTTTACAGTGCTTTATTAACAACTGCTGTAACCACAGCAAAATCAGCTGTAAATTATAGTATAAGACAGTTTTATCAGAGTTTCCATCTAGAAGGGAAAACCCAGAGAGATAAGATGGTCTTTTGCTATTTTGTCATATAGTTTTATTGCTCTATTCAACCTGTGATTATGGGTGCACTCCTAACTTGTTTGGGCTCATAATGAAAGATTTACAACATAAATGGAAATGTCCATCTGCATGTGACACCAGACAGCTATTCATCAAGGTTTCTAAATGACAGTGTTGGCAGTGATACCGCAGAGAGCATGATGGGGCTTTAATAGTTAGCTGAATGAGAATACCTGCGTATCAAAGGGTTCCCGTTTACCTCGTAAATCCAATTTATTAGCAGAAAACAGCTTTTTAGTATTTGCTAATGAGACATTAAACTCTTCCAGCTCCACATTCTTTCTGTTTATACCACCAGTGAAGAAATTAAAGGCTAAGAGTTTTGAGGGCTCAAATAAAGTGCAAGAAATGAGCCAGTTTCCATTTGTTTCATTTCGGTATCTCTTTTGTTTCTTGCAGATGAGTTCAAAGCCTTCCTGAAGAGGTTACCCACTGACCGGTTTTTGAATGTGTCTACGATTGCCAAGTTTTGGTCAGCTGACATGTCTCTGCAGAAGCGTTATGCACAGCTTGAAGCCAGCACCACCATGGTCCTGGGAAAAGCGCAAAAGATAGTAAGGAAGCTCTTCACCCTGAGCAAACGCTGTCCAAAGCAACCCCGCATCAGTTTGCCCAGAGAAAGGTAAATCAATATACTAAAAGAGTGAAGAATAATTTGTTATAACTGAGAACTAATGTGTAACTTTCAATTCATTTTAAACATTTACTCATTCTGTTACATCTTTACATATAATAATTAAGACTTTATTGAGATAGTCCATCAGAATCAACTAATAGATTTGAAGTAAAAATAATTTCTTCAAATTAAAAAAACAGATGTGCATGTATACTCTCTTCATTTTGTTCCATTACCCTCGAAATTAAATAGCAGTCCAAAAAATTAAAGGCAGATGTCTCCTATCTTGTTAAAAAATGCATGAGTAATTTAACTTTCTCAGCTGTTTTGAGAAAGCCAAAAGTTGAGTAATATGTAAACGTAAATTAGGCATGAGGTATTTCTTTTATGAGATATTTGAATTTTTGTATAATAAAAAAAAAACTAGATATTTTAGAATTTATTATTGCTACTCAAACTTTTATTATTTCTCCAAGGCTAGTACAGTGTATTAATCCCTATTTAAAAATATCATATTTTATAGTATCTTAAAGCAAAGTCATAAATGCAGGTGAGGATTTGTTTTTATCCAATTAACTCTCTAAGATGCAGACTAATTTGGGGTGTAGGCAACTTAAGTTGTCCCAACAGGGCAAATTTACTTTGTTTCTAGTGATCTATAGGAGAACGCATAGGGCTGCATTCCAAAAAAGCTTGATGGTTAAAAATGTAAAATGTTAAACAGAACTAAGGGAATGGTTTATTTCGGTTTTTATGTCTGTAATCTATGAGTGTGCTTCATTCAGATACTTTATAAATGAAAAGTAAAAGCCTTTTATATGGTTAGATTTTTAAATAAAAAAGAAGCATTAATATGAAGCCCTATAGATTGTGCCTTAACTTCAAGTTTAAAGATATTCTGCTTTGTGATACTTTGAGAAAGATTCTTGCTAATTTGAAAATGCTTATGTTTTTCTTGTTTAAAACTATTTTCCTGAATGCTTTTTATATAATTGTAACTATAATAATAAGCTTTCTTGATGCTACTTTATAGATCTTCTGCTATTTATTAGACTCTTGGATCTTTAGCATATATGTACATAGAGGAAGTTACTGTAACAGACTACATTTAGTGTGTCAGACAAAGTTTGATATTTCATGAAACCTCATGATATTGTTAAAAAGTCTGCCATGAGGAATATTGTAGTGCAACATGAAACCTTTAGCCAACAGTTTCAATCCAACAGACTGCACAAATATTTTTGCATAAAGAAACCAAAAGTTGGATCGTAAGTTTTGCACTTTTTTACCTATTCCCCATGCAGCTATGGTGAAAAAAAAACTGTTCTGTCCTACCAGACTCTAATTTTCTCAGTACTGTAAATGGGATGGCCATAAATAAAACAACACATTGAACATGTTGTACAGTACTTGCAGGTAGGGTTTTAAGGTGTTGTCTATTATCAATACAGGTTTGCTGCAAAAACATATTGATCTGTCAAAATCGGAAGTTTGCTGTTATGTTTATTGTGGCAAGCATTGATAAAAATAAACACCCCACTTATTATTCATCTAGTCACCATGGCAATCTATTTATAAAGGTTGCATTAGCTAAATTTGCTAACAAACTGAGAGTTTTTCTATGTCCATATTAAATAAGTAAAGGGCTATTACTATTTCACGTCTCACAATTTGTGTCAAATAAGACAAAGTATCACCAGATCTATATCATAATGAAATCGATTTCCTTTTATTCATATTTAAATTAATGTCTTTAAGGGACATTTTTAGTCTTTGTATTAATGTCACTGAATTACTTTCTCGTAAAATTATCTTTTGAAAGGGGATGAAGAAAGACCATAACAGTTTGAAGGCAACTAAATGGATAACAGTCATTAATAGCAAAAAATGAAGGATGCTGCCAAAAGAAAATTGCTAATCACAGAATAATGAAATCAAATGAAGAAGATATTGAATAGGATATGATGAGTACAAGGGGGAAAATGCGGGGAAGCATTAGTCTAAGGATACATAGACCTGGCAAAAAAACAAGCTAACTAACCAGCTGACACAAAGAGTAGGTTTTGCCCAACACAAAACCGGTAATTGCCTATTAGAGATTCATGTGTGTGGCAAAGAAAGGATGCAAAACTAGCTGGAAGCACAGCAAGTGGAAACATGACTTTATTCAGGACAATTTATTGAGCAAAAATATATATATATATATATTGCTTGCATGGCTCTACATGCAAGCAATATTAGAGCACATGTTTTTCTACTGATATCTCAAATAGATGTTTTAATTTAGATTGTCAGAATAACTTCAGAGATGTTTTTATATATACTTTAACGCTCTGGTAGATAAGTGCCAGTTATGGCAATTTGACACTCATATACCCAAAATAAAAGAGCCCCAGTTTAGTGCTTCAACCTTATTTAAAGGTATGGCTTATCTCATTATGTTATTGATTATAAAATAAAATAAAATAAATAAATAAAATAAAAGACTTGAACACAAGTAAGATATTGACAAGTTTAGATGCAAAATAGAATTAATCAAAATAGGTCCAAATGGTTTAAAAACAAAGTATGTAGGATGTGCATACCTCTAAGAATAAAGAATGGTATGGAGACATCACTGGGAGAGAACAAACAGAAAGGGAATGAAGACTAAATGGCAAAATAGGTAATAACTTAGTGTAAGCACCAAACCATAAGAATCTTGTCTCTATTTAAATTTGAGTGGGCGGTGTATTATTCAGGCAGAAAATTTTTCAAAAAATGCCTCCCTTAAGCTATATCACTGTGCGATATTTTCAATTGTTGCACGCAGATACTGCTCAAACTGTGAGACGAAATCGCAGGGTTTTAAAAGTTCACAGCTCACAATGAATGTTATCACACTGTGCGACACGACTCTCCAGTGCGATCTAACTGCTAAAACTGTACATTTAAAAACCACATGTACTCGTCAGTCTGGGTAAAGAAGAAGAACACCCTTGTTTGCACAGTGCTCGAGGTTCTGGTAAATATCCTCATATCTCTGCTTCAACAGCAGGATTTGTCCGCTAACACCTCACGACGGCCGACTGAATTTCAAACATGTTTGATTTTCTCCCGACCTTGCGATTCCTGATCGGGAGGTGGTCGTGAGAGGCTGATCGCCCCTCGTTACCCCCTGTATACTACACGATGCAGGATGCACGATCAGGCTGAAACTCGGCCCGATCAGAAAAATTCTCGCACAACTGGTGAATCGGCCTGAAAGGGACAAAAAATCGTACAGTGTATGCCCGGCTTCACAGTAAAAGTTATTCTGTATGTGTATTATGAAACAACAGTTATAGAGGTATTTGAGTTTGTTGTTGAGCACACGTTATACTTACCATGCAGAAAAAGAATACAATTCTGTTAAATTTGTATGATGAACTTGTATTTCTATAATGATATAAATCTAAACCTTGGTACATCATTATAATAATAATAACTGTAACTGTTTAGTGTTAGCACTGTAAGACTTTTTATTTAAAACTTTACTGATTTGTGTTCATTCTTCTTTAAAGGCCTGTCGGGTTTTGGCTTGGTATGGCTCAGTCTCTGCTCTACTGCAATGAGCATGGAGTCCTGGGAACATTCTCTGAAGAGGCTAAGAGCTGTGTTTGTCCTGTGGACCAGCCCATCTGTCAAGGCGCCATCCCTTGTGTTGTGGGCACCTCTCCTAATTCCTGCTCCCAGTGTGCCACTGACAATGCCACCCGATGTGGAGCCTGTCACCATGGCAATGTCCTTTATCTTGGCTCCTGTCGTCCGAGCATCGGGACCTCCCTGGACCATTATCTGAACTTTGACCTGGACATGCCAGATGCAGAGGTTCAAGTAGCTTCTAATATCTACATATTTACTATTTCAGTTAAAAGTTAAAACATATTCACATAGACAAAATGTCATAGTAACTTTGGGCCTCTAGGGATCTATTCAAGAGATTCTGCTGTAAGGGTGGGATTATTCAATTAATTCAATCAACTTTTCCGTAAATTTCAAAAAGCAAAGTTAGACAAAAATCTCAAATATAAACATATCCTCTAAAAAACATTTGAATGTCCCTTAGGAAACTGTATTATGATCAAATGATTTTTGTATGTGAACTAGTGCTGGTTTATTTCATACTGACAGATTTTCTGGAGCTTATTTGGTTGAGTTGGTTGGTTTCCTGGTCTCAGTCTTACTTTTAAGCACAATCCACAGGGTAAGGCTGTTGTTAACGCAATTTAAGAGCTATTAAGCCCTGAGGTAGGGGATGAGCCTTGAGATAGAACCTACTGGAACAACAGAGGTACTGTCCACAGTGAAATATGTTTACATCACATTGGACTGAGCAAATGGTGACAAAGAAAGAATAACCTAAAATTTGTTAATACTTTAGTGATAGATTGAATCTAGAGAAAAAATGCAGTCATAAATGGGAAATGCTGAGCTATGCTGAACTTCGAAGGATTCTACAAGCTATCAAACCAAACAAGCTGCCAAGTGTGGTGGGGGAAGTTTCCTATGGTGTTTTACTTGCATTGAAACATGTGTAGTGTACAAGTAGGATGGATTAGTGGCTGGCTAGCTCAAGTGGTAAGTCACCAGTCCTGCAAACAGGACTGATTCTGCATTCCGAGCTGGGGGGAATGAGCTGCCAGTGTGGGTCCTTAGGCAAGGTCCTTCACGCTAATGCCTGCTTTGGGAAGTGGCGGTCTATTGGTTAGGGCATTGTGCTTGGAATCCTGAGGTTCTGAGTTCAAGCCCCACTCCCATAGACTGCCACTTTGGGTCCCCTGAGCAAGAGCACACTGCTCCACCGGGGGCAAAACAATGGCAGCCCACTGCTCCCCAAGGGGATGGGTTAAATGCAGAGAGTTAATTTAGTTGTTCTCTACTTGTGACAGTGTAATGACAATGAAGAATGCTGGAAATTACAGAAATGTAAGGATCCCTTAAGAAGATACATGATTCAAATCAGAATATATTTTGTGATCCAAAAGACAGAGATTATAAAATCATCCAAACTAGTTTTTGGAATGGATTGACCATTCCAATCTGTTGGACTTAACCTGACATTTTTAAGATTTGTTAAAATTGTGTTGGGTGTGTTTGAAAGGCAATATCTTCACAGAAAACCAAACAGTTTTAATGTATTCTAAAATTTTATATTAAATAGAATTATGCCAGAATCGTGTAAATGGCACACAAAAGTGTGTTCAAGGTGTCATGTAATAGGAGCCATCTAGGATATTTATGAATAGCGTGGGTTAATTTCACTCTGTAGCCATGCATGGATTGCAGACAGTCCACAAGAAATGTAAACAATGGACCCAAGTTTTCCAAGGTAGTATTTCACAATTTTGTAGTCCCTCTTTTTGTGAGAAATTCTCATACCCATATTGCATATGAAATCTTTTTCAAGGCATTTTGCTTTCCGAAATATTTGGCATAGTATAATACAGACAGTGTGACTGATAAAATGTATATATTACATGATATAATAGTCAATGTGTCAGAGCACAGCATGACCAAACAGAAAACCAAAAGTTTACACCTAAAACTTCAAAAACAGAGGATTTGTACACTTCTGAAAAAATTATAAAGTCAAAATAGAAAGCATGAAATAATGCATTTATCTGCTTATTTTTCCCTAGGTGAAGTTCCTACTTCAGCGACTGGACAGCAGAATAGAGGTACATGCCATCTACATCAGCAATGACGTTCGTTTGGGGAGCTGGTTCAATCCTGCCTGGAGAAAGAGGATGTTACTTACACTAAAGAGCAACAAAAACAAGTCCAACCTCATCCACATGCTGATGGGTATTTCTTTTCAGATATGCTCAACTAAAAATTCAACACTGGAACCTGTGCCTGTCATTTATGTGAATCCTTTCGGGGGCAGCCATTCAGAGAGCTGGTTCATGCCTGTGAATCAGCCCGAATTCCCTGACTGGGAAAGAACTAGACTGGACAGCATTCCCAATGCACAGTGTTACAACTGGACATTGTCACTGGGTAATAAGTGGAAATCCTTTTTTGAAACAGTGCACATCTACCTACGGAGCCGTATTGTCACAGACGATCCAACAGTGAATGAAACTCTCTTTTATGAACCCTTGGATTTGGATGATCAGACGTCAAACTTAGGGTATATGAAGATCAACACTCTTAAAGTCTTTGGATATAGCATGCACTTTGACCCTGAGGGCATTAAGGATCTGATTCTGCAACTCGACTACCCCTACACACAGGGCACACAGGATGCTGCGTTCCTGATGTTACTGGAGATGAGAGATCGGATTAATCGTCTGTCTCCACCAGCGCCACAACCACTTGACCTGTTTTCTTGTCTATTGCGCCACCGCCTGAAGCTGTCTGCAGGTGAGGTGGCACGAATCAAGGATTCTCTTCAGATCTTCAACTCCAAACTCCCTAATGCTTTTCCTGAACCTGAACTGGCCCAGCTTTGCAGCTAGCTGGATTAGCCCTCTTGTTTCAGGAGTTTTACTGCAACCAGACTAGAGTTGCGGCTTCATGGACAGTACTAGTTTGGGTACACAGAAGACTAGCCAACTCTGATGCCTACCTTCTGGGCCTTTAATTCTCTCAATTTGCATTGGTTGGTAGGAGCAACTTGCTCCTTGTGAGACTCTGCTTTGCCAACCAGAAGGACTACTTTTGCTATTACTGCCATGCTTTTGGCAAACTATCTGACTGAACCAGTTCAAGATTCTTATCTATTCTAAAAAGTCATTTATTGGTTTGGAACTGCAAAGATTATCTCTATTATGATCTGTTTTTTAAGAGGAACTTAAGAGTGGTATTGGATTTTTTTTTTTTTCAAATAAAGAGGATTTTGCTTTTATAACTATTTACTTTTGGAAACAGAACTATTGGGCTTGGGTGGTTATATTATCCATGTGGTGAGTAAGTTATGTTGTTATGCTTAACAGTTTGAAATTTGATAATCCTGACCCCTGCTAATGTGTTTGGATATACCTTTTTACATCACATCTTTCATTTTATCTGGCATTTTAAAATGTATATCTATTATTAACATCCAAACGAGAAGCCTGTTAGTGATGTTCTGTTCATGGTGGAGTGTCTGCCAAAAGCAGATTAAAAAAATAATTAGCGATCCGGGTGCAAAGAAAACACTGGCATATGCTGTCTTTTCTTACTCTTTTAACCTAAAAATGACAGAAAGAAAGCATATATGGTGATAACAAAGAAAAGGTCTGTGGATGTAGTGCTGTAAATATTGCTCCATTTAATTCAAGACTGTGGACAAGTGCACATTGCTTTCTAGATAACCGAGTAAAAAATGTTTATAACAAAACAGACTCATGCCTTATATGGAAAGTTAATGTTAAAACAAGAAGCACATTTAATTTCTGTGTTTGTTTTTGAAGCAAATGTTGTTTCGCTTTTTATATTTCTACCAGGACAGGAAAACAGACACAATCTCCGGCGTATGTGATAATGTAGATTTTCTATGTACAGCAAATGCCAGTCACATTTTCTGCTCTTGTTTTGAATCAGTGTTGTGGAAAAAATTGAGTCACCTATCACAGTGCCCACCAGTACTTGCACTATGTAACTGTTCTGCAAAATCTCCAGTTATATGAAATATCTGTAACTGATAGATCCTTTTCGCTTTTAAATTGTTTGGTTTAGTCTCATGTTTTTTAAGTCGTTATTTGCTTTTCTTTTTTACGCTAACTTTCTCTATTATTATCTCTTTTTACATTGGTCAAAATTCTGCTGCAGTTATCACAGCAAATGCATTGTCAAAAAGTTTATCTTGGACAGTAAGGGTCCTTTTAGAGTTCAGGACTTACAAATATGAAACTTGATATGATATATTTACTTTGCCAATTTCTCACTGGAGGTCAACAAATCCTGTATGTCATTTTCAGCTGTTCTGTGCTCAGCTTGCTTAAGTAAAAGCAAAATGTTTTATCTACTTGGGAGTTTGTTCTTAATTTAAAAAATATTGCATTCAAAATGTTCTATATTTGCCAATAGGTAGGTATAAACTGCTGTGTATTTGGCTTTGACCCACAATATATATTAATCTTAAGATAATACACACATTACAGTACATTTTAACAGTAATGTAGGGAAACTGTTGGTACATTCAGTGTGAATCACTTGAGGGAGGCGTTATGGAGATTTCCAATGTAAATAAAAGGTTGTTCCAACTTCTGAAAATATATCTTGGAAAACCAGATTTATAATATATGTGTAACACTCATGTTTAGTTCTAAACATTATTTATAAAGGATTTCTACTATCATATCTGTTTAGGCCTTTAAGCAAAACATTTTAAGCTGATTAGTTGAAGCGCCACCTAGTGCCTGCCTACCAGTACAGTAACAAATGTGGTTTCTCATGGCAGCAAACTCCATGAGAAACCACAACAGCTTGCTCTTTTATGCTCATGCTGTTCTTCTTTAAAAAAAAACCCAAATATTTTTCCATGTTTATTTTGGTTTGGCTGTAGGCTTGGCAGCTCTTGCTTTCTATCCATAGTATTGCAGCATGATTGGCTGACCTGTTTTCTGTACAACTTGAGCAATTTAGGTTGGGGACATACGAATGGTTTGGTAGGTGTTTGTGAATTTGCAAATACCACAAGTATTCAGATTAATTAGTGACACTATACATCTCCTTAAACCCATACACCATAGAGATGAATCACTATTTGCATCCGAATTTCACAATATTTCCTGCCGCATCTTAAATCATGGCTTACAGATGTGGGTCTTTATAAAAAAGAAATGAGGCATAATTGTAAACAACAACATTTTATCTAAATCTATATCTTATGCTCATTCCAAACTGATTTTTTGCAAAACTAGGTGAGACTATCAGAACCACTTTAACCATTCGGAAGACTGAGTGAAACTTCATCAGTGCAAGTTTAGTGCATGAAACAAAGGAAATAAATATGTTGGACCAAACACACCCAAGCGGTGTCTTTGACAATTATGCTAAAACTATTTGAAACACAAATATTGCATTATGTTCTCTGCCTTCACCTAAATGCCAATATACACAGTTTATGCTGACAGAGCTTCTTTTGCAGAACTATAAATGAATGGTGACTAAAAAAGACAAAAGTAGTTGAAAAAGAGGAACAACTTGACGTTAGCAGCCAAATTAAATTTGTAGGCTGTATCCATGAAAAATGTGTTAAATTACCTAAAATGCCTTGTTCTAATATTGAACTATTGTTTAATGTTTATTATATTAGATTACATGATATGACAAACAGACACTTTAGTAGTCTTTAGTGCATCTGTTGTTTATAAGAGCCAATGCCACAAGTTAATTTCTCCATTGTGCAATCAATAAAGTTCCATTTTATTCTATTCTAGTAGTTCAGATAACCATATCCCACCACAACAGGTGGACACCTTCTCCTCATGCAGGTCATTATCTTAGTCACACAATGCTGGGGGATGGCATCCCACTCTTAAACCAGTCACTCGGGCATGAACAGCATGCCCAAGTTAATGCACAGTGGGGTAGAAGTCAGGATTGCAGGCAAATCATACAAACCTCAATACTTCCAAATTCTAGAAGTAGATTCTCATGAACCCTGCTCCGTGGGGGTGCATTGATGTCTTGCAATGTAGAGTTCTGTCCTTCAGAGTAGGGTTGTGGGATTACTGCTGGGTGAAGATATCTTGCTCTCCTGAGATTGCCTCTAATTCAATGAGAAAAATACTGTGGAATAGCAATACCTTTAACACTGGAACCAGTAGCGTGATTCATAGAGATTATTTGATTATTGTAATAATGTCCAGTGATGTATGTCTAACCCTATGAAATAATGTCAAATAATCTGTTTTGGTGACTGCATATTTGTTTAGTATTAAATAAACAGACTCTAAAACACACCATTAGCCAAAAAAAAAAAAAACAGTTAAAGCTGTAATTCAGCCCAAATTCAAGAAAATATCACATTTCCTTGCAAGATAAAAAAAATCTTTGTTTTTAAAGGTTCTCGACCCAGAGCTCCTTAAGTTAAACAGTTATATCTCTTTCACAAAATCCATACAAAATTTGCTATTGAGCACCTTTGGGTTTCTGCTTACAGTATTAACCAGTAAAGCGAGAAGAAGGATTATCAGCAATAATCATTAGGGAAAGCCCTTATCATGTTTTCTTTAACAACAAAAAACTATTTGAAAGCAGCTTAAAGGCTTTTACATTTTTTATAAGATGCAAGTGACATTAAATTTGGCTTTAATCACAAATGCATCCATAAAAATCTGGCACATTGAAAATAAAATAAACTTATTTTGTATGAAAATTGTTTCCAGAAAGTATCTTTAAATTAAATAAACCAAATAAAAACAGTTACTTTTAGTGCTACTTTTAGGTGCAGAATCATTAAGATTTAATCGTATAACAAACAGACACTTTAGATGTCTTCCTAATTCAAACTGCACGCTTTTCTTAATTCAAGGGATTGTTTTTCAGATAAAAGGAGTTACCTCAGGCTTTATCATTAAAATACAAAAAATCTGTTATTAGGAATAACTCCTGAGAACTATTTCACAAAAACAGAATCATGAAGTCATACTCGTCGTCTCCCGCTTTATCCGGAACGGGTCGCGGGGGCAGCAGACTAAGCAGAGACTCCCAGACTTCCCTCTCCACAGACACCTCCTCCAGCTCTGTTGGGGGAAGCCCTAGGTGCTCCCAGGCCAGTCGAGAGACATAGTCTCTCCAGCGTGTCCTGGGTCGTCCCCTGGGCCTCCTCCCAGTGGGATGTGCCTGGAACACCTCCCGAGGGAGGCGTCCAGGGGACATCCGAAGAAGATGTCCGAGCCACCTCAACTGACTCCTCTCGATTTCGAGGAGAACCGGCTCCCCTCCTTGAACCGCCACCTTAACGTGGTGGAGGGGTTTCAGTGCCTGGGTGATCCCAGAGGCTATGTTGTAGGGGGCTAAATGCCCCTGGTAGGGTCTCCCAAGGCAAACAGGCTCTGGGTGACAGGTCAGACGAAGAGCAGTTCAAAAACCCTTATGCCGAGGACTACAGCCAGGCATGTGACGTCACGCGGTACGGCGGAACCGGGACCCCACCCTGGAGCCAAGCCTGGGGTTGGGGTTCGTCGGTGAGCGCCTGGTGGTCGGGGTCTTTCTCGCGGGACCCGGCCGGGCCCAGCCCGAAGGAGCGACGCAAGGCCATCCCCCAGTGGGCCCACCACCTGCAGGGGGAACCATGAGAGACCGGGGCATAGAGGATTGGGCGGCATCCAGAGGCGGAGACCTCGGCGACCTGATCATGAAATCCAGGATATGAAATAAATTCAGGCTTGACCTTGCATGATCAGTGCATCCTGACAAAGGCCACTATAAGCTCAAAAGGTGTGACTATGGTCCTTTCCCAATCAGTGGCTACTCCCTATCCCCAGCCACTTATCACTCCATTTGCCTGCAAAAAATCTTCCATATTAAGTCTTATCTGCAACAAATAATTTATTCTTATGAGTGGTTCATGAGGCCCTGCACAATGAGTGAGGACCTGTTGGCCACTCAAGCAAGTCTTGCAGCACCGAATTGTGGCTGGGATGGACAACTGGACATACAAGTTCTGCATATGCCTTGCTCATATTCACTGAGTAAAGAGACACCTCACCAAAAAAATATATAACATATCATATAACATATAATTTTGTTGAAGGTGCAATAAAAAAAAATAAAAAAACGTATTGCACTGTTTGTTACAATTAAATTCATAACTGAAAACTCAAAAAACAGTGGGTTATTAATTAGTTTATTTGGCTTATTAAAGCCAAAGGCCTATTGTTAGTGGGTCAACCCATTTCAGAAAAACATGAGTTAAGCCAGTATTTTCTGTGGGAAAGAGGCTTAAACCTGGCTGTTAACTTGGTCAGGCTACTGCACGGCATAAATATCTTGTATGTATCAAAGCAATGAATTACCCAATCTGCATGTTGTGGTACTTTTCATCAACCTACATTAAAAACCATCAATTTACATTGTTATATAGCCAAGTATTTTAGTTATTTTAACACTAATTTTATAGTCATTACTATTATTAACTTTATAATTTTCTCCAGGAACATAGTTACTATTTAATCTTTTTTTAAAGATGGCTGTTCTTCTAAGTTTGACAAAGAATGTCAAATAGACTACAGCTGTGTTTTAGGAATTAAAGAAATGCCCATATTTGAATCTTTCCTTATAATTTCCTGCATTATTGACCTTTCTGGGGATAACATCCACTACTTGTGCAGTCTACTGGGTCTCAAAATTTAGTACTGTACAGAGCTAGGGTACATACTTACAGTTACACAGATGTTCTATGTTGGCCTTTGATTTTCTGCTATTGGTATGGTCCTGTTTTCAATAAGAAATACTAAAAATCTTAGCAAAGACAATATTTGCCGCACCATGAGAAACGTGTATTTAGCATTAAAAGCAAAACTGAAATACTGTACATCAAGGAGGTGTTTTATAATATTACATGAAACTTAAATTTGACTAAACATCACAAAAGAAACTTTGGAACAACTGGAGTACTTTTTTTTTTGATACAGGATTTTCTGACTTGCTTGACCACACAAACATTAAGATAGAATGCCACTCTGGGGCACATGAAGGTGATAAATTGTTAGGCCTGTCAAATATAAATTTACTATTTGAATTACATTTTTTTAAACACATCTTGTTCCTTCCAAATCGGTTCCTCCCGGTAGTTCGTTTAAAACAGGCATCCCTTTGTGAAAATAGGGCCAGATTTTCTACTGGAATTAATTCTGGAAATAACAAAATACCGTGGCAAGTAAAACGTTAAAAATATCTGCAGTTTCATAAAGCTTTTCATGCTAGATGTCCTTCATGAAGTACTTGGGGTTTGATCACTTGTGTCCCTGATTGCAGTTAAAGACTTAAACCACAATACCAATA